GCACAACCATGGGCTCATTGAGTAGATTATTTCATATCGTTTGTGATTCAAATAAGTACCTCCCATTCAAGAACATTCATCTCTTCAAAAATTTTTCTTCCTTACATTTAAGGACAAGACTCATTTCTAGTGATATGATTATGGTTTTTTCAAGCTTAGACTTACATTGTTCACTCCTTTAGTGACCTAAAAGGCTTACAATATCAATTGCACGTCTTATATTGCCTAATGATGATATAAGAACGTATTACTAGTAAATGAGTAATAGGTAACTTTAAGGTTAGTTACTTTACACTTGGGTTGTTTGGTATTCAAAGCTACGGGTGTAGGAATTTTGGGTAACTAGTAGGCATTGAGCCCTAATTTGTGGGGTGGATTAAGAAAATAATCTCTAGCCATATTATCCAAACCATTGATGGTCTGAATAACTTATTGGGACCATTAACATTCTCCTTTTTAAAATCTTTTGTTACTTGCATTTAAGGACAAGACTCATTTTTGGTGATGCGATTATGGTTTTTTCAAGTTTAGGCTTATGTCATTCACTCTTTAAATGACCTAAGAGGCTAATAGCATCAATTGTGTCTCATATTGCCTATCAGAGACATAAGAATGTGTTAAAATAGGTAACACGTAGGTTTAAGGTTAATTACTTTACCCTTGGGTTTTATGGCATTTAAAACTTTGGTTGTTGGAATTTAGGGTAACTAGTAGGCATTGAGCCCCAATTTGTGGGGTGGATTAAGAAAATGATCTCTAGCCCTATTATTCACACAATTGACGGTTTAAATAACTTATTCCGACCATCAGTGGTTTGAATAGGTACCTCTTATTGTAGAACTTTCTCCTTTTTAAAAACTTCTATTCCTTGCATATAAGGACAAGACTTATGTCACGCCCCAACCAAAGTTTAAGGTATAACAAATGCCACACATCTATTGAATGACCCTATAAATGTATAAGGCTATCTATCCTGAAAATCAATATAATCACCCATAAAAATTTAACACAACCCTGATCCTTCAATAAACTATTCCAATAATAAATCTAAATGGTCTCCAATTAACAGGCATAAATCTTTTAGCCAAAAAGAATAAAGAATAAAGTATTTAACAATTTATTCCATAAAACCAAATAATCTTTTAGTTGAGTTATAACTAAATTCCTATCAATTTATTCTAATGATCTCTCAATCCCCATACAAATCCCAATGTTCAGGCTTCTTCACCTGAAATGAGATGAAATTTAAAAAACATGAGTTTAAGAACTTAGTAAGTAATATACCCATTCAGCACAACCAAGCATAAAAATTTTTAAACTAAATTTTATTGTAAAAAAAAAAAAAAAAAAAAAACACCTTTCTTTCCTCAAAACCAAAGTAACCTATTTTTCATCCTTTACAATTATGTAACAATCCACAATCCATAATCCACAATACTCAATCCTCAATTCATGATACACAATTCACAATTTATAATCCATAGATCCTTGGTCTATCACAATACAAACAACTCAACCCTCACTAGGGTTAATCATACAGCTAGAACAAAATAAAAACCATTCCAAAAAAACCATTTCACTAAAAATTAAGCAAAACAAACATGGCCACAATCTCATCTCAAACTTAAATAAAATATCATGCTTGGTTGACCAATTATTTCATTTCATGATTAAAACATTTTAGCAAAAATCATTAAAACAAAATAAATTAGAACAGGACAAAACTCATTTAAATATATCATTTTACTTTAAGAACACTAGAGAATATAGCTAATTACCTCAATAACTATCTTTCAAAATGCAATTACCACACAGCTATTCAAAACCTACATGAACATTAAGTAAACATAATTCAATCACCAAGTAAAAATTTATCCTTTACTTATCAAGCATCTACATGAAATAATTCTATAACCCATGCCACGCCATTAACATCCTCTTCCTCAAACCCAACCACCCAACACACACTTTTGGAAACTAACTACCTAAATAAATAATTCCACCTTGAAAATTCTTCACGCCACACCACCCAAATTCACAATTTTAATATCAACTCCAAAATCTATTTGTTACGGTACAATCAATCTCACCAACCATGCATCTACCCATTCTCTTCATTCCAAAATTCCTAAATATTTCACCAACCATGAATAATAAATTACCGCTAGCCATGCTTAAGAACAGCAACCCGCATTAGTGTCTTTCCTTCTCTTCTAGTGAGAATTTTTGAGACAAAGGAAGGCTTAATAAATAAATATTGAGAGAAGCTTTTAAATTCCACCCCCACAATTCTTTTAATAATCTAAATTTAAACTTAAGAAGACAAATTACCTTAGATTGACTCTAGTATGGCCAGATCCCTTGAGCAATGCTCCCTTATTGGCGAGAGGAAGAAGACATTCTAGATCTTAAAGAAAATGAAAATCACCAGACAAATTCTGATTTGGATTTTTAACAAAAGGGGTTTTTACAACCTAATCCTTGACGTATTTCTAGTGATGTGATTACGGTTCTTTCAAGTTTAGGCTTACGCTTTCACTCTTTACGTGACCTAAGAGGCTAACAGCATCGATTGTCTCATATTGCCTATTAAGGACACAAGAACGTATTATTAGTAAATGTGTAACACGTAGGTTTAAGGTTAGTTACTTTACCCTTGGGTTTTATGATATTCAAAGCTTCAGATATAGGAATTCAATGTAACCAATATGTGTTGAGCCCTAGTTTGGAAGGTGGACAAAGAAAATGATCTCTAGGCACGTTATTCAAAACATTGATGGTCTGAATAATTTATTGGGATCGTTAGTGGTCCAAATAAGTAGCTCACATCCTAGAACATTCTAGAGCATTCTCCTCTTTAAAAACTTTTTGTTCCTTATATTTAAGGACAAGACTTATTTCTAGGGATGTGATTATGGTTCTTTCAAATTAAGGCTTATGTCGTTCACTCTTTAAGTGATCTAAGAGGTTATTGGCATCGGTTGTGCATCTCATATTGCCTGTTAAAGACACAAGAACATTTTATTAGTAAATGGGTAACACGTAGGTTTAAGGTTAATTACTTTACCCTAATGTTCTATGGTATTCAAAGCTTTGGTTGTTAGAATTCAAGGTAACTAATAAGCTTTGAGCCCCAGTTTGTGGGGTGGATTAAAAAAATGATCTCTAGCCGTATCATTCAAACCACTAATGGTTTGAATAACTTATTGGAACCATTAGTGGTCTGAATAAGTGCCTCCCATTCTAAAACATTCTCCTCCTTAAAAACTTTTCTTCATTACATTTAAGGATAAGACTCATATCTAGTAATGTGATTATGGTTCTTTTAAGTTTAGACTTACACCATTTACTCCTGTAGTGACCTAAGAGGCTAATGGCTTCAATTATGTGTCTCATATTGCTAACTAACATGCAAGAACATATTAATAGTAAATGGTAACATGCCAATTTAAGATTAGTAACTTTACTCTTGGGTTTTACAATATTCAAAACTTTAAGTGTTGGAGTTTAGGGTAATTAGTATGCATCAAGCCTTAGTTTGAGCAGTGGAGCAAGAAAATGATCTTTGGCTCTATTTTTCAAGCCACTAACGGTTTAGATAACTTATTGGGATTGTCAGTGGTCCGAATAAGTGCCTCCCATTCTAACTCTTCAAAAACTTTTCTACCTTGCATTTAAGGACAATACTCATTTATGGTGATGTGATTACGATTCTTTCAAGTATAGGCTTATGTCGTTCACTTTTTTAGTGACTTGAGAGGCTAACAGCATAGATTGTGCATCTCATTTTACCTAACGAGGACGTAAGAACATAGTACTAATAAATGGGTAACACATAAGTTTGCGGTTAATAACTTTACCCTTGGGTTCTATGGTATTCAAAGCTTCGATTGTTGAAATTTAAGGTAACTAGTAGGCATTGAGCCCTAACTTGAGGGTGGATTAAGAAAATGATATCTAGTCTTATTATCCAGACCACTGATGGTCTGAATAACTTATTAGGACCATTAGTTGTACAAATAAGTGCCTTCCATTCTAGAACATTCACCTCATCAAAAACTGTTCTTCATTGCATTTAAGGACAAAATTGATTTCTGGTGATGTTATTACATATCTTTCAAGTTTAAGCTTACAACGTTCACTCTTTTAGTGACCTTAGAGACTAATGGCGTTGATTGTTTGTCTCATATTACCTAATGACGATGCAAGAATGTATTAGTGGTAAATGGGTAACATGTAAGTTTAAGGTTAGTTACTTTACCCTTAGGTTTTATGGTATTCAAAGCTTTGGGTGTT